GAGAGAGAGAGAGAGAGAGAGAGAGAGAGAGAGAGAGAGAGAGAGAGAGAGAGAGAGAAATTGCGAGAGAGAGAGAGATATATATACAGAGAGAGTGAGCGAGAGAGAGAGTGTACGTGTGTATGTATGTGTGTGCGTGCGTGCGTGAGTGCGTCAGTTGCACTGTGAAAAGTTAGCCAGGCAAATGGCCGGTTTTCAGTCTAAACTTTTTCTAACCCCCCCCCCCCCAAACGCACAAAATATGATTATCCGGCTGTAATACGCGTTTTTACTGTCATTCAAACACACATACACACACGCGACCGGGCGCGCACACGCGGGTATGGTTGCACGCACGCGTGCGCGTGTATTATAGGCGTAAATTCACATTTTTTGCCTGGGGGAGTGAAAAAGTTTCAGCTGAAATACGGCCATTTACCTGCCAAAGTTTTCCCATGCTTGACTGGTCGTGGGCGATACTATCCGCGAGAGGGGAGTAAGGAAGTGAGGAAGTAGAAGCACGGAGAGAGGCGAGTATATATATATCTACCCACACACCGGCCCGGCGCGTGCGACAGAGAGCGCCGCTTAACAGGCCAGCCATCCCTTATATAGGCCTTAAATCATCCTGTACATTATATCATTACATCCCGTATCCCGTGGATCATGTGGATATTCATGGTTGATATATAGGCCTACTGTGTGGTGATGTGTATCTTCCCCGCTCTCCACATACGAGCTGCCTGGCAGTGGAGCCATAGCTGTTCCCCGCTAGATTTTAGATGGGAAAAAATCGTAGTAAGACAAGGCGTTGTTAGGCACATAGTAGGTGTATTATTACAAATATGTAATAATTAACAAATGCGTCACCGGTGTTTCCGAACGATGCGGACCTCTTGCTTTAAAATAAACTTTGACAACGATCAATAAATTTACGACAATATTTTAACGAACAAACGCACGTACGTTCGTACGCTCGCTCGTATGCGCGGCCTGCCAGTTCCACTCGCTGCTCTCAGCAGGAAATATCCTAACGATTTCCTGATTGCAGTAAAACCCAACAATATATTCAACATAAGAATTACCTTGGTTAGGTGCGCACGCTGTATACTCGTGCCTGCCTGACTGCATGACTACGCAAGCGAGTTCATTATCGACATGGCTGCGCCTACGGAAGCTCCTGTGAGAGTGCCGCAATTATGTGGCCACGCTGGGTACGTGGTCACTGTCAGCAAAACATGTCATGGCAAGCACGGAGCAAGCACTGTTGTTTCATATTAAACCTGTAGAACTATATATAACTGCGGCTTCTGAGGCTCTATACGGACTTTATACGGGGCATATATATATATATATATATATATATATGTATAAACATATATATATATATATAACTCATTCTCGTACTTTTAGCGCACAGTATCAAATTGGGTATGAACTTATACATAATTATATCTATTCATTCACGAGTTCCATATATATATAGTTTACTGAATATCACAATGCGAGGTCACGCTGAGTATAGACGATTTGACCACTGCTTTCTTTAAAGGCACATGTCTTATTTTGTCAAAGCGAAACTTCTCTTTATTATTATAGAACCGATCGTAAAAAGGAAGAGAATATTGGTTTGGTCGTCATCGTAAAATCCACGGAACTTCAGGCAAGATCACTGGACTGATTCAAACCAATCGAGCGATATATATCCAAACGCCTGGAATATCGCTGCTCTTCACACTTCGTTACTAAGCAACGTTTTTAGAACGCCCCTATCAGTACACTGATTGGTCAGAGTTACCTGCTAACCTCCCTCGGATAGATTAGTTTTCGTCAAGCAAAATATACCGTTATATATAAATAACACACACGACGATAGCACATAGTTAACATCTTACGTTTTACGCCGTTTCAAACCGATTCCCTATATATATATATATATATATATATATATATATATATATAGATATAGATATAGATATAGATATATAGTATCTCGGCAAGTTCACGTGTATTTCCCATAAGGGGAAAGGCAGGAGCAGCAACGTGTATGTATATATATATATATATATGCATTCCCTATTCTTCGCGGCCCTGATATATTCATCGAACGCTGGTAATGCGCGGAATGGCAAAGTCCGAGCCTTGGTGCAGAATCACCACCACCGCCGTATCAGTAACGATGAAGAATGCCTTGTCCGTCGCCGATGATAAAGAACACACACAAGATTTCACTTTTCATGCCGCAAGGCGTCCTATTCTCCTGGTGGGTCTCTCTCTCTCTCTCTCTCTCTCTCTCTCTCTCTCTCTCTCTCTCTCCCTCTCTCTCCCTCTCTTTCTCTCTCTGTCTGTCTGTCTCTCTCTGTCTCTCTCTGTCTCTCTCTCGCTCTCTCTTTCTCTCTTTCTCTCTCTTGCTCTCTATTTCTCACGCTCTTTCTCTCCGTCCTTCCTCTTCTCTCTAAGTCATTTCACTGCTTCACGTGAGACAGCGTGACGTATAAACTGCGTCGATGCTCACGTGCACATCATCATGGCGATCAGACAACCCCGTGTATCGTTCTCACGCTAACTGCGCTACGATATGTGTGGTCGGTGCGTACTGTGTGCTGTCACAGCCCGCTGTCATACGTTTGACGTCCCCGCTGTCATACGGCCGACGTCTCCGCTGTCATACGTTTGACGTCTCCGCTGTCATACGTTCGACGTCTCCGCTGTGCCGTACGTCGGATTCGAAGTCGTGAAGACGATGTGTTTGACAGGGTTCAGCGGTATGCTCAATTCTGACGACGACGACGGCGACGACGGGCCGCTGCTGTTGGCCAGGCTGTCCACCGACTGCGAACAAACAAGAGAGCAGTGCTAACTTCATACTGAATGAGATTGTTGATTGAGATTGAGATTGTTGAGATTGTTTATATATACTCAAATAAGATTGTTGAACTTGCACGGGTAGTACGTAAATGTGCCCCCCACCCGTGTGGAGACAGTACAGGGCAACCTCTACCACACACGTGCAAAACAACAAGAGAGCACCAATCAGCGTCACGTGACGTCGCCCGGGTTCACGTCGCCTGCATATATGTCAACCGGACATTATTTTATTAAAAATCGTGCTAAATTATGGTGCCTATCGTGACCCACCCACATTTCATCAAGCTCCCATACAATCACGCACCCACCCACCCTGCGCGCTACCGACGCTGAGTTGACCACACACACTTACCAGGTCTGTGCCGTAGTTAAGCAGCCGCTCACACGTGCTGCCGAGTTCAGAAAAGGTCGGTCGATCGACGGACTTCTCCAGCCAGCAATTCTGCATCATCTCGTAGCTGTGCAAACATGAAGAGTCAGTGAGTCATGAAATTGTGATTATCTTCTATTGATTACAAAGCCTGGGCAAAAAATGTCGACCTGTGACTCTCTACCTCCCTCTCTCTCTCAGAACACTCGGGAAGGGCCGTTTCCGGCCATCTGGGGGGTTTGTAAAACCAAAAATTTTCTTGTACGCTCCGCGCCAACCGATGGTGGCGCTCCGCTCAGATAGTCGTGCCTACAACTTTGAAAATCCTGGCTACGCACCTGAATGTCCATATCATAACGTTATTTATTTTAAAACTAACTGAAGGAAATAGCGAGGGAGATACACAGAACTCGCGCCTGCTTGTTGTTTAGGGAGGAACTGTACTGAAGCGCACACAGACGGTCCATTCCCCTGTCATTCAAATAACTTATATAAAGCACATTTATCACTAAGCTGTATTTAATTAAATAACAGTATTATTTATAGCATCACATGCGCAAAGCGTTTATCATTACACCATATTAATTATGTTACCTGTAAACGTGGCGTTGGTAGGCGATAACGGAGAATGAAGGAAACCGTGCACGTTCCACGAGAGCGCGGGAGAAAATGGAGTACGTCAACGAACAAAGGATGTGACGTGCCCGAGATCTCGCGAGAAAGAAGCAGTTTGGACGCTACACGCTACTCAAAAAACGTAATACGTAATTCACAATACGTCATTGGCCTCGCTAACGGGCGCCCCCAATATAGAAAAACGACGTGTTCATTATATACTATATATTATATGTATATATGTTGTATGTATTATAGCCGTATATCCATATTTTGTGCTTCGGGGTAAAAAAGTTTTGGCTGAAAAACGGCTCGTTTACCTGCGTAAAGTTTTCTGTGCTAACGAGGTCGTAGGTGATACCATTTGGGAGAGGGGAGGATGGGAGCTCAGCTAGGATAAACGAGAAACAACAAGAGGTGGTAAGAAGATACATATCAGGGAATTCCCTATTATCTACTTCTGATATATGCATGGTATATATATACATATATATATATATAGAGAGAGAGGGGGGGGAGAAGAAGAGAACGGTGAGAGAAAAGGAGAAAGAAAGTCAGCAAGAGATATATGGAAAGAAAGAGAGGGAGAAAGAGTGAGTGAGGCTCATAGGGTCTATGTCCCCCAGGGTACTGCCGGAACGTACCCTGGGTACGGTCCGGTATACCGGAACGTACCCTGGTAACTATCTGATATGGTTAGGGTTAGGGTTAGTGTTAGGGAGTAGTCGTAGGCGACTCCATAGACTCGTTAGTGGAGTAGGCGAGGTACGGTCCGGCATATTAGATAGTACCAGGGTACGTACGTCCGGCAGTACCCCGGGGGACATAGACCCTCTTAGCGTGAGTGAGAGAGTGAATGAAAGCGGAAGACGGAGGTGAAAGAGAGAAAGAACATAAGAAAAAAAGAAAGAAAGAAAGAAACAGGGAAGTGAGCGGCTTAATAAATTCAGTTTTTTAATTTCATGTGGACATGCATATTAGTATACTTCTCCTTCTCCCTCTCCCGCTCCCTCACTCTCTTCATCCCCCTACCCCATCTCCCTATCTATCTCTTTCTTTCATTCTTTATTTCTCTCTTTTCCCATTCCCTCTTATTCCATTTTCGTCATTCTCTCTCATTTCCACCTCTTTTTGGTTCTCCCTTTTCCTAGTTTCCTTATTTCGGCAAAAACTCTCCCCCAGGCACAAAATGTGAATTTACGCCTATAACACATTATCATAGATTTCAGAAGAATTTACGGGGATTCTAACACAGATTTTATAGATGACAGCGATCTAGGTGATCACTATATACTATACATACACGTTCTCGTAGTAGACCGTCGTTTTACATTGCATACATACATAGTACGGATGCGACAATTCTTCTCCCTATCTTGTTCTCTCTCCCCCTCTCTCTCGCCTTCTCTTTACTTATTCCTGACTTTATTTATCCCTCAGTATCTGCTTTCCGATGGTATCGCCCGCAGCAGCAATAACACGGTGGATCACTACACGACAGATAGCCGTTTATCTGCTAAAACTTTTACCGATTCGATCTTTCTTCGATATGGTCCAGTGGACTTTGAAGGTCAATCATTATGAAGTTATGAAGTATCGATTGTTATATATATATATATATATATATATATATATAATATATATATCAGCAGATACAGCCCCTACCTGTATCCAAGCCAAGCCGGGCAACAAATGAAGGAAAAGCTACACATGGATATATCAAAGACCAAGTAGAAGGTTTACACATGAGTGAACTGATCTTATATTACAGAAATCCTATACATAACAAAAATAAAAGCACCATTTCGTAAAATATCACAAGATAATTACATAATAACGTTAAACAAGGACAAGGGGATGGTAAATCTACCGTCTGCCACGGTTCGTCTGACTCATCAAGAAGCGACTGCAGCGCCACCGTACGGCCGGTATCCACAACTTTTCAGGGAGATGCCCAGGCGCTCAAACGAAATGACGTTTATTGTGAAGGTGGGGCGAGACAGTACGAATAGCCTCTACACACCTGAGGTTGTGGAAGCGCAAACCTGACACTATCACTCGAAATGATACAGAACTCTATTACGAATACTATTCTGGAATGCACGCCCGCCGGTAGAGGGCGCAAGTAGCACAACGCGACACGATCGACGCATCGAATGTTCTGCGTGCCAGCGGCACGGTGGCGCCACCTAAAATCTAACATCGGCTTCGCTTGACGGACGGTGGCGACATCTGTATGTTGCTGTTGGAACAACGTCCATCTTTATCGCAGGCTAATTCTACTCTACATTTCACTATGAATGAAGGATGAACATACATAAATACAGACGTATCGGCTTGTGCACCAATCAACATGATCCCTCGCTCCACTATAATTAACATGATCCCTCGCTCCACTATAATCAACATGATCCCTCGCTCCACTATAATCAACATGATCCCTCGCTCCACTATAATTAACATGATCCCTCGCTCCACTATAATCAACATGATCCCTCGCTCCACTATAATACGTCGCAAAAAACGCAAAAATGTTAAAACCTTGGTTTCGCGAGTTTAAACACTTGTATTAAAAACTATTCATTTTTTCCCCATTCCAGAGACCATACAGATATTACGTATTAATTTACAGATCATGATTTTGAATTTAAAGAGATTGACAATATATATTAATTTAGATCAATATAGTTACTCAATCCATTACGTTTTAATTTGAGGACTTTGTTAAAAGAAATAACTTGACTTTTCTTTTCTTTTGTTGAAATTTCAAAATGGGAACTATCCTGGAACATCCTGTGATCTGTGGGGGGGGGCATCAGGGGACTTGTTACTGGGAGCACGGTGCAGTGGAACTCGCAATTAAATAAAATAAGTTACGCTCTGCTGATTCTCCCACCCGTCTTCAATGAAATATCGCCAGATGATTGCATCGCCATTGTATTACAAATAGCAAATCTTGATCAGTGAACACGATGACTACACCGGCGTCATAATAAAATAAGTTTTCTTCCAGGACGGGTGCGTCGTCACGGAGACGCGTCGTCATGGAGATGCGTCGTCATGGAGGCAAATCATCGCGAAGACGCGTCGTCGTGGAAACACCTTCCCGATCGCAGACGTCATTGCACAAAATATATACACGCTGGAATCCGTTGCCGTGGCAGCAATCTTCCCGGAACCGATCATATCATCCTTCGGAGGAATCCCGCACAGCAGACGAAACGTCAACAACGTCACAAGTGCTTCTCTGACAATCCCTTTTCCTGCTAGGAGGCGCCGAGTGTAGCCGCGAAGCCGCGACGAAGTCTGGTCACGTGACGCCAAGTCGTCACCATGGCGACGTGCAGAGTGGTCTCCCGGAGCGACAGCCCTCATAGACTGGCGCCGGCGCGCACGCGGCGAGTGCTCGCGACAGAGCGCGCGGGGGCGGCGGCGAGCGTCTATATGTAGCGGGAGTTGCGGTAGTTCATGGAGGAGATGCGATCGGCTTCGTTACCGCCCATCATCATGAAGACCTGCTCCAGCCTCACTCCCAGCTTCCTACTCCTCGCTGACTCATCCTCATACAGATTCTGCAGCAGCTGCAATAATAATAATAATAA